AGTGGCAAAAAACGAGCAAAAATAATGAAAGAATGCAATGAAAGCTCGTGGAGACAGAGGCGGGACTTCCTACTCACTCTGTGTCTCTTTAAGATGGAGGCCTGATACAAATTAGCCACTGGGGGGAAAAAAGTCATCTGGTCATAAAATACAGTACAAGGTCACTTTTATGTAAGTTTGCCAAAAGGGACATAAACCAGGACAATTTCAAACTGTGACACAGGATAGAAACATATTAAACAAATCTTTGTTCCTCCTCTACTGTGCTGTCATGTTGCTCAGCTTTATAGACATTCCAAGCACCAGCACAGAGCTCTTCGCTTCCACCTGGTCAGTCCAATTCATTAAGAAAGGAAGTTACCTAAAATTTTCTACTTTTTGCTTTTATTATCAAGCACTTTGTTTGAAGTTATAGGAGTTAACCTCTTAATCCTACAGACCGTGTGCTATGTTCTGGACATGTGGGGATGTCTGAATGGCTTGGATAATTGCTCAGGATGTTGCCGTTTGCTTATGCTAAATTTTATGCCATGACTTCAAATCAAAGATAGGCATTAAAGTGAAGTATGATATAAATTTATTCCCAGAAAAATCTTGGGTTTATGAATTAATCTGTCGTAAAGTTTATATAACAATCATATGGAGAAATTTTCTCCCACTTTCTTTACGTCGTTGAATTTTTTTCCTCATAACATTTTAATTCAATATAAGAGGTTAAGATATAATATGAAACAAATATATTCCTAACTCCCATTTAAACAATGGCCAGAGGTTACACCTCCAGAGTTCATTACAAAATCAGAAAACATCTCTGACATTAATCCGGATAACCTGGAGGTCTTTTCTGGAGTAGAGCAGGGAGATAAATCATACAGCCAATCTGAGGTATGGTAAGTACAGCAGTGATCTCTGCCCTAAGATGTTCCCTGAGCCCTAAGATCCACAGACCGCAGAAAAAGCAACCCTACTGCAAAGTGAAACAAAAACCACCAAATGGAACCTTTTTCAGAGTTGAAGAATTAATTTGTAAACAAAAGTCACTTTCAAATACCTACAAACATACCTAAAGTTCAATACAATACACCTAAGTGACAGCAAAATAATCTAAATTTGGTAAACATTTAACTGCAAACAGTAAGTCTGAATTCCATGATAAAAATTAGCTGCTGTTCTATCCTCCTACACTTGAGAATTATAAAGTATGGGAATAGCAAGGAGATGGTCCTAATAAAATAGAAACACACGCCACTGCCACCGTAAGAAGAGAGAAGAAAAGCTATTTAAGGCCCTTAAAAGGACATAGTCAACCCCCCAGGCCTAAAATGTCCTGTTTGAATTAACATAGTGGTTTAATTAAAAACTAAGTAGAGAATTCTGCTTAATTTGATTTTCAATTCAAGCTCTGCATCCGCCAGTGGCCAATTTCCGCATCTCGGCACAATATGCAAGAAGCTGTTTTAACATCGATTGCCCAGGGGAATCCATGGGAGTATAGTGGGGCCATATGCCATTTAGGGATACACCAGACTTAGACACAGTAAAACAGCACCAGGAGGGTGGCCACAGGAAAAAAAAAAAAGGAAATTTAACTTAACCATATTACAAGTTTGTCATTACTCAAATTATTGTGCTGAATCTACCAATTAGAAATGCTTCTAACCTCTCTGCAGCATCACTTCAGAAACTAGATGTGTCAAATGTAACCAATGAGCAAACAGCTTTAAAGGAATATACATAAATATACCTACTTGTTAGCCAAATACGTTGAACATTTAATGACTGTGATCTATCATAACAATTTCAATAAAGCAGCAAAGTTAATAATTCTAAAAGTACTGTATAAAGAACCATGTATCTTTAAAAATGTTATTTAGAACTTAAACAGGTAATTATCAAATGATTCTAGACTACAAAAAGATACAACATTAAAAGGCTCCATGTATACTTAACACATTTAGACTTAACTACACAATATTAACAACCTTTCCAACTTATATGTGACTGATTTTAAAACTGAAAAATACGAGTATTTTTAAATAGCATGCCTTTATTAGCTTAATTTTAAAACTTTCTAAACCTTTCTACTAGGGTCTGGAACACACCTTATTTTCAAACAAGTTTGCTTCAAACTATGCTAGGTTTAATGCTCAAGCTGATTTATTCTACTTCAGTACATGCCATTTCAAAATGAGAAACATATTTTGGAATTTTAAAACTGCCTGAGATAATAACTTGTGAATAATTAAAAGATGACTGTACTATATTCAGTTGCTTGCTTTGAGTCCCATATTTTATAGAATACTTAGAATAAGCATTCTAGAATACTTATTAGTGATTAGTGATTACTAAAATTTTATAGAATACTTACTAGTCAAATGCATTTAAAGACTATCTGGAGGGTAAAGGTAATTTAATAATAGCTAACATTTACTAAGTGAAGTCCTGCATTACATGAATAAACACATTTCATTTAATCACCAAAATAATACAATAAAGTAAATATTATTGTGACACCCATTTTACAGAAAGAAATCCTGAGGTTTAGATGAAGTTACTCACTTGCCAAATGTTTTCTTGGTTGTGGCTTCACTATCTTCCACTGACCTCTTTTCCTCAGCATATCAGTATAGTCAGACTCTCCAACTTTAAAATTATTCTTCCTCCTCTACCTTCAAGCTGTAATTCCATCTCCCTCCTTCCCTTAATGGCATTAACAACTGAATTCTTTAATTTGGTTTTCTACAGCACCTATCACAACTTCACAAGTCGGACAAATGGCAGTCTTCCTGGGCTCCACCTTATTGCTCTCTTTTTATTATTTTTATTTTTTTATTGCATTTTAGGTTTTGGGGTGCATGGGAAGAACATGCAAGATTGTTGTATAGGTACACACGTGGCAGTGTGATTTGCCGCCTTCCTCCCCTTCACCTATATCTGGCACTTCTCTCTTTTTAGGTCTTCTGCTGTGTCTGGGAATTAACTGGATTCTTGGTTACCTGTATCCTACAATCATTCAGTATTTCAGTCCCATTTGAGGTCACCAAACACAGCTAGTGACCCTCGAGGAATTTTTAGGGGACCAACATAGTCAAAGATGTGCTAAGAAAAGAATATCATTTTAATCATGTATAAAAAGACTTAAAAAATTTTTTTTAAATAGAGGAAATAAGTGCTGTGCAATCGTAGGTGTGAAATATCTTTATTTACCTTCTAGGATCCCTCCTCAGCTGATTCTCCCTTTGACCTTAAGTCTATAAGAGGGAACAGGAGAAAAGTGACATGTCACCGGGCCTTTTTGTCAGGTTTTTTTCTTTTTTAATTCTGGAGATTGTTGCTAATTCTTCAAACAGATTTAGCTAAGTCCCTTTCCTAGTTGGTTAACTCACATGAAGGGAAGAAAATAACTTGGGAGGCAAAGAGTTTGTCCATATTACACCCTGTTATTTTAAATAATAATCTATTCCACTAGATTTTTATGAAAAGTATAAATGAGGTAGATACTGCTTATAATGCCAAATATGAAAGTATATTTCCCACCGAGCTTTATCAGTTGTTTTTTGTATGTGGCACTATTACGCAAGAGATGGTGTCAGGAAGAGGGAAGGAGTTTGCAGACTTGAAGCGAACGTCACCAGGCAGCGCCGTAGAATCTGGGCAGGACTGGCCCGGCACCGGGGTCTACGGAGCTCCGGGCCTCTGCTCAGGCCCGGAATGCCGCAACCTAGCAAACCCCTGCTCATCCTTCAAGTCCCAGCCCAAGACCAGGCTCACTTCCCCTGCGAAGCCAGCTCAATTCCCCAGGCAAATCAAGATATCCATTCCTTGTAGGGTTTCCCACAGGACTTTGTTATATAAAAGGGCTTCAAACTGCATCTTATTTCTTTACCTCTATCACTTCTCCCACTGTCTGGCCCTTGAAGGCAGGAGCTCCATCTTTCCATCTGTGTCCCCAGCAAGCGCCTATAAGTAGCATAATAACCGCTACTTAAGGAATTGCTTAATAAAACTCTGAATTCTCAATAAAATTCATTCTCTATTGAATGAATGAATATCCATCAAAAGTTACGGTTCTAAAATTCTACAGAAATTGCCTTCTCAAAAGTCTTCAATGATCTCCTTTCTTCTTGCTGTTCATTCTTAGTTTTTGTTTACTTCTGAGACAGGGTCTTGCTCTGTCACCCAGGCTGGAGTGCAGTGACGCAATCACAGCTCACACCACAGCTTCAACCTGCAGACTCAAGCAATCCTCCCACCTTAGCCTCGAGAGCAGCTGGAACCACAAGTGCCCATCACCATGCCCAGCTAACTTTTTTATTTCTAGTACAGACAGGGTCTCACTATGTTGCCCAGACTGTTCTCGAAGTACTAGCCTCAAGCAAGCCTCCTGCCCCAGCCTCCCAAAGTGGTGGGATTACAGGTGTGAGCCACTACACTGGCCACTGACTAAATTTTAACTGCGAGTCTTAAGAATACATCATGAATTTTTAAATTCCAACATATAAAAGCCAGTTTTCTTAATGTCAGGTTTGACTGCCAGAGTCATTCATTCTGATCCTGGTACATTTACTAAATGTGAAATCAGCTGTCAGTTTTCAGCTGCAGACTATTAACACATGGAAATAACAGCTAGACAACAGAAAGGGGAGCCCATGGAAATAACACTTTAACTGTCACTAACACTTTAACTGTCACTTCAAACTAAATAAGAAACCCTAAGAAAAGAAAAAAAGCTATTATATTGGGTTTATCCATTACACTAAAATGTACACATATTGTAAAAGCACTCACAGGTCTAAAAGATGTCTCTTTCTCATGGACACACAAAATAATTCAATATGTAGACTTATTCAAGTTACTGTGAACAATGTTAATATTACTTGTTATTCATTTAATTTTTTTATATTCCATTTAAATAATTTAAGTCTGCTTTTTCTAGTTCAATGTGAATGACACTGAATTCCTCACTTAACAAATCTGATTCCAATACTAGATTCACTTACTTTTTTCAGGCCAGCAAAGCCTTCTGATTCCAGAAAGAAAAAGGCAAAGGGCATCAATACAAATAAACAAAGGTTGGAAAAAAGGGAAGCAAGATTCCACAAACCTATAAAAAGGATAACAAGAAAAGAAGAAAAACAGGTTAGATATTGAAACTGTAATCTTAATCAAAATCTATACTTTTAAACAGTAAAAATAAACATAAGTAACAAATGAGATAAACTTAGAAATCATAAAAGAATTATACTACATATTTATTCAAATTTTTTTAACATTGTAACTTATACTTACTGGGAAAAGTCAGTATAGAAATTAATGTTTTTTCCCATGCCCTAAAATAAATTCACTAAAAATATGACATGTGCAGAGATCCAAAGAAACAGCCTCTTTAGACATATAGGCACCGGAATATTTAAATTATTAAATGCTAGAGTCACTACGTTTATTGAGCCCTTAATAAATGCCAGATACTCCACTGAGCATTTTACATGCATAATCCCATTTAATTTAAGCCTCATAAAAACTCTAAAAATAATAATTAGCATTTATTGAGCCCTTATGTGCTAAGCACGGTTCTAAGTGATTTACAGATATTATCCAAACTCATTTACTCGCCCAGCAATCCCATGAGGCAGGTAACATTACTGCCCCAATATGACAGAAGCATGAGCTGGCTATGCAACTTGCTAAGGCTGTATAGCCTGCAAGTGGCAGAGCTAACTCTTAATTCCTGGGATTTTAAAAAATCACTACATCACAGAAATTTTGGTAAACAATTCCAAGTGGGAAAGAAAAAGTCACAGAGACTGGCAATCTCAAAGTGACCTTTTCTTCCTTTGGCACAAAATGGCAACTAAAATAACAAGAACAGATTTAGTAAAAGACAGAGCCCTGTTATGTATGTCATTGGGAGGGTATTTGGCCCAACATGTCATACCATATTTTTTACAGGTAAAAAACTAAAATTTAAAACTGAGTTTCAAAATGATGATGAGGATAATCATTACAAAAGTTTATCAAATTAAGAGTCAAAGATAAAAAGTATGCCAAGGATAAATTCAATGAACTGTATGCAATAATAATTTGATGTTTTTGAAAGCAGGCAACTGATGCTTTTTCAACACCTTTATTTCCAAACAGTGCTAAAAGCAGTGGAGATTCGGCGATGAACAAACGCAACACCTCTGCTCTCACAGTTGTTCCTGCTACAGATACGCATGCAGAGACTAACTCTGAGCTGGCAGTGAGTACAGGGAGCAGAGCTGTCCCCAACTACTGCAGTTATGAATAAACATAAATGTCTGTACCTGTCCTAATGCCCTTTGGAATAGCATGCAGTATAAACAAACACAATTAATTTAGCACTTAATATGGGTCAGCTGGGGAGAGTCACTTCCTTTAGTAGACAAGGTAATATAATAAAATCAACTCACAATTTTGTATTCAAAAATCTATACAGATATAACAAATTTACAACATACATTTATCTTTGTAGAAAGTAAAAACTTTAAGAAAATAATACCTTAACATCTTTTAGTGGAAAAACTGCAATCTGAACTATTGAAAATTTTAAAAATTTTAAAACTTTTATGCTTTCCAGCCTTTAAAAAAAGCCAAACATTGTTTTCTTTATTCAAAAAGACTATAATTAGAGTCAATTATTTTATTGTGCTAATAACCAGAAGGGCATATGGAATGATGGCTGCACGCACACAACTGAGTTCCAGGCAGCCCTGGGTCCACATCCTGTCTGCACTTCCACGTGACAACTTTCAGCTATAAAATACGGCTAATGGCGGGTCTATAGATGTTAAGTATTAAATAATGCACATACAACAGTTGGCACAATGCCTGTCATAAAATAAGCATTTAATGAATTTTTGCTTTGATTAACAGTTACAGCACCAGAGTCTACTAGCAACAGTGCTGTCAGCTCCCACACCAACTACCACCCTTCCTGAGACTCCAGCTCACTTGCTAGTTTTCCCTTTCATCTTCCTTTCTACCAGGTCTATCAGCTCCTCGTTTCTGTTCCTAGAAATGAGCGTGTGTCCAGCAACAATTTCCTCCATCCCCCAACAGGCTATGGGTAAAGGTATCGTATTTGCAACTTTTAAAAATTACATCTAAAGAGTAAATGGATCAAAGTTGCACCTTCCAGGTCCAACTCATAACCTAAAGTGCATGGTCTTTGGCTTCTCTTTTGCCTGCCCAAGAGCATTTTCTCTTCTTTAGTTTCCAAGTAAGTTACTTTCAGACATGTGAGGTATAACAATAATTATTATTATGTAAATTGCATGAGTACTATTATTTAGTAGGCTAGAGAACCATGATTGTTATTCTACTGCTTAGTTTAGGCATGGTGAAAGAAAGAAATGTCAGTTTCATCATTTGTGTTATAAAAGATAAAGGTCAGTGTGCCAAGAATTATACTCATTTTACACAAGAGAGTTTTAATCCAATTAACTATTTCACAGTCCTTTTAAAAAACGTTTTTAAAAGTTACCTACTACAGGTATACCTAGAGTAGGTAACTTTTTTTAGTTAGTTATCTGGGGTCTAGTTAAAGAGGACTGCATGTTGCTTTACTGTGCTTTGGAGATACTGCCTGAAGGTTTGTGGCAACCCTGTGGTGAAGTCTACGGGTACCATTTTCCTATTACCACGTGCTCACTTCATTTCTCCAAGTCGTATTTTGGTAATTTTCACAATACTTCAAACTTTTTCATTATTTTTACATCTTTTATGATCTGTGATCCGTGATCTTTGATTATTAATTACTATTTTCATGTTTTGGGGCACATCAAATTGTGCCCATAAAAGATGCTGAACATCATCAATAAATGTTGTGTGTGTTGACTACTCCTCCGATGGGCCATTCCCCCACCTCTCCCCCACTCTTAGGGCCTCCCCATTCCCTAAGACACAACAATATTGAAACTAGATCACGTAATAACCCTACAATGTCCCCTAAGCGTTCAAATGAAAGGAAGAGTCACCCATCTCTCACTTTCAATCAAAAGCTAGAAGCTTAGTGAGGAGGCATGTCAAAAAACAAGACAGGCTGAACGCTAGGCCTCTTGTGCCAGTTAGCCACGTTGTGAAAGCAAAGGAAAAGTGCTTAAAGGAAATTCAAGTGCTACTCCAGTGAACATACAAATGATAAGAAAGCAAAACAGCTTTATTGCTGATATGGAAAAAGGTTTTGTGCTCTGGATAGATCAAACCAGCCACAACATTCCCTAGAGCCACAGCCTGAGCAAGGATGTAACTCTTCATATCTATGAAGGCTGAGGGAAGTGAGGAAGCTCCAAAACAAAAGTTTGAAGCTACCGGAGGTTGGTTCATGAGGTTGAAAGAAAGAAGCCGTCTCCATAACATGACAGTGCAAGGTGAAGCAGCAAGTGCTGATGGAGAAGCTGCAGCAAGCTCTCCAGAAGATCTGGCTAATTCCATCAACGACAGTGGCTGCATTAAACAACAGATTTTCAAAGTAAACAAAAAATAGCCTTACACTGGAAGAAGATATCATTTAGGACTTGCTAGCCAGAGAGAAGTCAATGTCTGACTTCAAACCTTCAATCAACAGGCTGACTCACTTTTTAGGGGCAAATATGGAAGGTGACTTTAAGTTGAAGCTGGTGCTCATTTTCCATTCCAAAAATCCTAAAACTCTTAAGAATTATCCTAAGCCTACTATGCCTGTGCTCTATAAATAGAACAACAAAGCTGCCCAAGATGGCAGCACTTAACATTTACAGCAAGCTTTATGAAACAGTTTTAAGTGTACTGTTAAGACTTACTACTCAAAAAAAAAGATTTTCAAAACCCTACTGCTCACTGACAATGCACCTGCTGATGGAGATGTGTAAGAAGATTAATATTTTCATGCCTCACACAACATCCATTCTGCAGTCCATGGATCAAGGAGTAATTTTGACCTTCAAGTCATATTATTAAAGACACATTCTGTGAGGCTATAGCTGCTACAGATTCCTCTGAGGGACTGTGCAAAGTACACTGAAAACCTTATGGAAAAGATGCACCATTTGAGATGCCATTAAGAATATTAGTGATTCTATTTCTCCACATCCTCTCTAGGAACTGTGGTCTTCAGATTTTTTAATGATCATCATTCTAACTGGCGTGAGATGGTATCTCAATGTGGTTTTGATTTGCATTTCCCTAATGACGAGTGATGACAAGCATTTTCTCCTATGTTTATTGGCCTCATATATGTCTTCTTTTGAAAAGTGTCTGTTCATAACTTGTGCCCACTTTTGAACGGGTTTGTTTTTTTCTTATAAAATGTTTTAGTTCTTTATAGATTTTGGATTAAGTCCTTTGTCAGATGCGTAGATTGCAAAAATTTTTTCCCATTCTGTTGGTTGCCGGTTCACTCTAATGATTGTTTCTTTTGTGTGCAGAAGCTCTGGAGTTTAATTAGATCCCATTTGTCTATTTTGGCTTTTGATGCCAATGCTTTTGGTGTTTTAGTCATGAAGTCCCTGCCTATGCCTATGTCCTGTATGGTTTTACCTAGGTTTTCTTCTAGGGTTTTTATGGTGTTAGGTCTTACGTTTTAAGTCTTTAATCCATCTGAAGTTAATGTTAGTGTAAGGTTTCAGGAAGGGGTCCAGTCCATGCCTTCTGCACATGGCTAGCCAGTTTTCCCAACACCATTTATTAAACAGGGAATCCTTGTGTAAATTAGTTCAACCATTGTGGAAGACAGTGTGGCAATCTCTCAAGGACCTAGAAATAGAAATTCCATTTGACCCAGCAATCCCATTACTGGGTATATATCCAAAGGATTATAAATTGTTCTATTATAAGGACACATGCACACGAATGTTCATTGCAGCACTGTTTACAATAGCAAAGACTTGAAATCAACCCAAATGCCCATCGATGATAAGACTGGACAGGGAAAATGTGGCACACATACACCATGGAATACTATGCAGCCAGAAAAAACAGTAAGTTCGTGTCCTTTGTAGGGACATGGATGAACCTGAGAACCATCATTCTCAGCAAACTGACATAAGAACAGAAAATCAAACACCACATGTTATCACTCATAGTCGGGTGTTGAACAATGAGAAC